AGTATATTTAATAAAATATTAAATATTGTTTAATATTGTCAGCAGCTTTAACATCTCAACAATCAGAAACAATATTTAATAAAATATTGATTGATTGATTGATTGTTGAGATGTAGAAGCTGCTGACGAACTCTGAACTCCATCAGAACCAAATGTTTGCTGCTTGTTTTAATAAATTTAATAAATCATGAATAAAACTGCAGCAGAACTGATCCAGCTCGGTTCTGGTCCAGAGTCCGTCCAGCAGGGGGCGACACGACACGTGGTCTTCAAACAGCCTCAGAGTCCTGAAACCTCCAGAACCCCCAGGTCCAGAAGCTGCAGCTGTTGAGCTGTAGACTGGATCCTGAACAGTCTGGACCCAACCGGACCTCTGGTTCTGTTGTATTCTGATGTTCTGTTGCATTGATCGTACTGGTCCTGGTCCTGGTCCTGCAGGTTCTGTATCAAACGCCTCCTGAACAGTTTGTATTGGACCTCCTCATGTTTCCTGACCCGCTCCAACAGAACCGCTGAGCTGAGGCGGGTCAGAAGGTTCTGTCACGTTTGGACTCAGCAGAGGATCAAACCTGAGAGCAGCTCCCTCCTTCAGAACCTCCTTGAGAACCTCCTTCAGAACAAGCTGATGGACAGAAAACATTCAGCCTCTAAGCTGCTGAACTTTGGCTACAAACGTCAGAGTGAAATAAATAAAAAGTAACTGAATTAATTATTGATTAAAATAAATAAGTGAATAAGTAAATGAATGAATGAATCCGCCTCTCACACGGTGACAGCTGGATATGTGCACCCGTGACCCGAAAAGAAAGAATCTGGTAAAGATGATGGATGGAAAAGAATCAATAAAAATAAATCAATAAATAAAATTTAGTTCAGTTTATTTATAAAGAGCCAAATCACAACAAGTTGTCTCAGGGACTTTACAGGAACATTCACATAAAAGACTATTAGTAAAGTTCTCTAAGGAATTTAATAAATAATATTTAAACGAACAAATAAAATATAAATGATAATTTAAAATAAATAAATAACATATAAATAAATGAATGAATAAATAATAAATGAAATTAACAAAGTCCATGCTCAATAATCCAGGTTTATAATCCAACATTTTTCAGTCAGCTCATCTGGACAGTTTCTTTTTGTGTGTTGAAACGTTTCACCTTCCATCCAGAAGGCTTCATCAGTCAAGGAAACACAACAAAACTGATTCTTCCCCCAACAGCTTACTCCAAAGTGGAACAAACCAGTTCTGCTGGTGATAAGATGGTCTCTTTGGTACCGCCCCCTCCTCCTCTGCCGGCCCTCTTCCTCGTGGACAGTCGTGTCAAACAACAAAGTAAATTAGGTTTGTTCCACTTTGGAGTAAACTGTTGGGGGAAGAGTCAGTTTTGTTGTGTTTCCTTGACTGATGAAGCCTTCTGGATGGAAGGTGAAACGTTTCAGCACAAAAAAAGAAACTGTCCACATGACCTGACTGAAAAATGTTGTAATAAATGAAATATAAATAAATAAAATATAAATAAATAAAACCAAATACAATTTAAAAGAAAGACTTGGGCTGACTCTCAGCTACCACCACACCGAGCTTCAGCTCAGCGTCCGTGAAACCCTGGGCTTGTGTTTACAGACTTCATTTACTGACAACGTTTGAGCGTTTAAAATAAACTTTAACAAGTTTAAACGATCCAAGTTGTAAACCGTCGTTCTTTGACTAAAGAGTTCAGAACAAATCATGATCCTCCCACCGCCGTGCTTTACCGTCAAATGTTCGTTTACCGAGTCCTGCAGGACTTGGACCTGGTCTCATGGTGTCTTCATGTCCCATTTATCGGGTAAAGAAATGCACCTGAACGCACCACGACAACATCGAGTAAAGAAA